TTACTGCTACTCTGGGAGCCATGTCCCCCAAGAGCATTACAGACATGCAGACAGACGGACTAAGCACCTTATATATATGGCATATATGTGGATCAGAATCCCCCTGGAAAAATTCCCATGATGAAGAATTTTCCCCATTTTCTTCCCTATTCACCTTGAATGATATTGTAAAGTGATCAGTCAGTTCATTAGTTTTGCAGGCAAAGCCAATTACTACTCAGCTCTACAATCCTCTACAATCCTTTGGTTCTAAGGCTCTGTGGTGAAGGACTAGTCTGCACTACTGTAATTCTTCTGGTAAAACTTGGCATAGGATTACACTCAAAATCCCTCCATAGCTGCAGAACCCCCAGTTCTGCTGGCAGTTACTCCACCCAGGGCTGGATTAACCCTTCAGTGGGTCCTAGGCAAACAAAGGTGTGGGCCCTGGGCTACTTGAGACCCCATCCCCACCCGGTGCTGCCATCCACAGAAAGTGGGGCTTGGAGTCACACCTAGCAAAGCAGGCGGTGAGGCTGGAAGGAGGGAGGGGAAGGAAAGGAAAGGGAGGTGGACATGGCCATTTGCACTGCTGCCACAGAGGGAAGGACCAGAGCCCCCCACAGCTCAGGGCCTTAGGCATGTGCCTAGTTTGCCTATGCATTAATCTGGCCTTGACTCCACCTCTGCTGAGCAGCATAATGCTTCTGCTGCTCCCCACCAGCTAGTAAAAGGTGCAAACAAGCACATAGGCTGTTTGTAGACAAAACAAGAGGTGTGTGTGCACGACACTTTAAAGCGGGCTAAATGTTTTTGCACCGCTTTAATGGTTTGCATGCCTTGGTGGCGTATTGTGCAGCTGCTGTAGGAAACTCAGCAGTGTAATGGGCCTTAAATGACTTGGGGTGCAGCAAACTGAAACTCCTTTGAGGAGTTTTAGTTTGCTGCCCCTACAGCAGCGGAGTGAAGCACCAGGCTCCATGCAGGTCCACAGCTCTGCAGGCAGCCTGGCAGCAGCCCAGGAAAGTAGCTCCGCCCAAGAAAAGTGGCAAACCTGATCTCCCCCCATCCCCGGAGCCTGCCTGCCTGCATGAGCTGTGTGGGGGTCTGGTGCTTCCCTCCAAGCTGCGGTGCCCCTTGGGACCACCCAAGCCAGGTGCCCACAGGTGGGTGCCACCTGCGGGGTAGAGGGGTGCCACTGCTGCGGGGGGAAGCACCATCCCTTCCAGCAGCCCAGGGACCACTGGCAGCTCGCCCTCCCCTCCCCACCAGAGAGGCAGGTGAAGGTGTGTACATGACATGGGGGTTTAATCAGCCCTAAATTTAAGCAGTGTTTTTTAAAACCCACTGCTTCAATTTAGGGCCTCTGAGTTGTCTTCACATGCCCATAGCTACCACAGTTTGTTCAGTGTAGGTGCCCTCTCAAATTGCTTTTTGTACTCTAATGGTAAAGCTCCTAAGTGCAACCTCATGGAGCCATCAGAAATTTCTGGGTGTGCACATATTCAGATGGCATGATGATGGCAACAGCAGTCTCCTACCAGAAGTTTTGGTGGCAAAGGCAGGTGGATGCAGATATACCCTGGTCCCAAACTCTTTGAAAAATTAATAGAAGACCATCTATTGTTTTCAGTGAACTTTAGTATCAGGCCTGTTGTGCTCCTGCTTGCTGTTTCATTTAATACCCCCACAGCTTTTTGAATAAGAAGAAACTCCGTCCTTTAATGTGTATAAATATATTTTTATATCAGGTTTAAAAAATAAAATATGAAAAGGTGAAACATTAGTTAACAGTATAAAAAGTTCTTTCACGATCAAGGAGGAACAGTTTATAGATGGAAGGCCTATCCTGAAAATACTATAAGTGCCTGCCTAATGAGTTCCTTAAAAATAATTCTGACAGATTCAATTTCATTAAAACCAGCATTGTGAAACTAGCTGCATTGCTGAGATAATCGTAGAGGTTGAGAGCTGCAGGCTTCCTGGTAAATGATTTTATTATTATTATCATTATTACTTGTAGAAATTATATAAAATATTTAGAATGGGAATGCTAATGTGCCAGTGCATTGACCTGGGAACTCTTTGCAAGCAAAGGTAAAACTTGTACCTACCCAGTCAGCCCACAAATCTCTACAGCCACACTCCTCATTTTTTTTATTCCAAAGGCATTTACATTAACTGCATTGTATTTACAGGACTTGTGTACAACTAGGTGTTCTAAAAATCAGCATGCTCATGCTCATGTGCTGTCTTGCTGAATGTGAGATAGTGCTCATGCTAAGCAAGGCCTAGCATATTTAACAACGCACTAAAAATTCCCAGAATGCTTCAAGGAGGTTGAGAAGTCAACGACTGACATTCTGGTGATCATTATCTGACCCTTGAATAAGAATGCTGACAGTCTGATAAAAATTGCAAGCATGCAGCTTCTATTGCGAACTACGGAAACCGCATGGCTAAACCGCAATGACGAAAGATAACCGCTTATCATTAAAGCAGTCTGGAAAATACTATAATAT